TACCAAGTCAAACAAGTCTACAGTAATAGGGAACAGACACATCACAACAAATGCTAAAAGGGTTCCGCTGCAGAGATCAGAAACTATTAATAATCTATTTCTGAATTCTTTGTTTAGTGAGAAGTTAGTCTTGCTCTGTCTCTCTGTTAAATACTCTAAATTAATCCTAAGCAAGTCCTTTTTCCCACTGAAAGCAATTAGTGATTTATGCAACAGTTAATGCAGCAAAGAAAATCCTAACGGCAGTAAATGTTGTCAGTGTTGGGATTCCAGTTTGTGTGGGTTGTTTTCGTGTTTTTCTTCTCTCCACCACCAGATGGTGCCTTCTCCTCGTTGGGCCTCCTTGCACACCTGTGACTCGTTGGGTCATTACCAAAGGAGTATTTGAGCTGCGGGCTGTCACTACCTACGCCAGAGTGTTTGCAAGTATTGGGTACTCTAGACATACTGAGATTAGTGACTGAGAGTCTAACCTTAGTCTTGTCTCTCTGAGTCTAAGCTTGCTTTGTCTTTGTTCTTCGGCAGGAAGCCTTCCTAAAACTCTGGATAAGCCTGGACCTTCTACCCCCCTGGAAGGATTATCTGAGTCACGCTGAGCAAGGGGAAACCTCCACATGATCCGTTCAAGTCCACTTCTGGAAAACCAGGTGACAGTTCCTTTACTCCTCTGGGTCCAACGTTAGTCTGCCTTTTCACTCTCCAACGAGTTCCTTCTTCTCTGGATTAAACCCCGCAAACTGGATCCAAGGAATAACCAAGAGCCCCCCAAAGCGTATGTGCTTCTCCTTCAAAATACAAGCCTCATTTTTTTTTTCTCACGGTCCCTGAACTGATCATTGTGATCTTCCCTTCAGAGTTTCCGGTTTCGGGTTCACCAGTCCGCTGTGGTCCAACATTATTACCCAGCAGAATATCTCTCTCCGTCTGTGTTATTTTGCTAGCCTTCAATAAACCTGTTAACTTTTACCCTTGGTCTCTGAGTGTTTCTCTGCATGTTGGTCAGATCTTTAAAGCCCATTATGACAGTCAAGCTAGAAAGTGAAAATAAAACTACATCACCTCCTGTTAGCTTTCAAATTCTTCAAAAACAAATCAATAAAAAAATATAATAAAAAAATGAAGATGAGTGGCGATTAACTTAGAGACTTAGACAAACTTTATTGTCATTCTGTATATGCAGTGTATACAAAATGAAATTTTGATGCATACAACAGTGAATGAGTGCAACAGTACAGTGCAAAACAGATAAATATGGTGTAAAATGCAGTATAACATTGAGTTGTGTTCTATTTAAAGGGATTATGAAAGAATCTTATGATTAAGATGTTTGGACGCTGATTACCATGTCTCTAAACTAATTAAACTAAACTAAGCTAAAATAAAATCAACTAAAATTAACTAAACTGAACCAAAATAAGATTAAAAAAAATAATAATAATAATAATGATGAAGAGATTAGGTCTTGTTTGGAGATTATAGAAACCAAAATTCTCCCAACATATACAAGGAAATAAAATAAATCAAGATAGAGAGATAAAGATTCTTGGATATTCCAGAAATACATTTTTTCACCTTAATGAACCATTGGTCAGCATTAAATACAGTTTTTCTAATGATAATGTTACAGAATTATCTTAGACATAAAAGCATTTATTTCTTTTTAAGCCAATAAAATTTACATCTTAACTCAAATGTTTAGTTTCTATATTTAATCAGTGTTTCATTGATAACAGGAAATGAATAAAAAATAATCTTAAAAAGTGAGTAAATGTATTTTTCTAATCTTTTTCAGGGAACTTACGAAATAATTGTTGTACTTCTATGAATCAGGTTTCAATGTTATACATATGCAGCTAAATTGAACATGTGTTGGTTGCTGTCACACTCCACTCCATCTGCTTGAATATACCATGTATGTTTTGTGTTTAATCTCAATAAAACTATTTGATAATCATGGTAGAAAAAAATAATGCAGTGGATGAATGGTCCTAAGTAGATGCACCATAGCGAGTTATAAATTCCCACATAACTCTGTTGTAATACTGATAGCATCTCGTCTATAACATGTGGTAAAGATGTAAAAAAAAAAGAGCCCCTAATTAAACACATTTTCATAGCCTAAAAACTTACAGATGACCTTTAATAAACACCAACCTTTGAGTACATTTATGCCCAAAGTAAAGAAGTCCCCACCCTAAGATTTTCTGAGATAACTAAATTGATTTTTTTTAGCCAAATACACTCCAAGTGGGATTGATGTGAAATAAAAGAATGAATACTGTCTAAAAGTATGCCCCCTTGTAAGTATGGGGAAGAATCTATGATGCTGTGGGCCTGCTTCTCTGCCATAAGCCTTGAACCCACTGAGTCTTTCAGCATATTAACGCTCTATAACACATGGCGAAACCCACACAGCAATCCTGTGAATCATGAATAAAATGCCATGCATGACTTTTTCTATCTCAATAAATCTAATAAAAAATTCTTTATTTTGGGGGATTTCAATGTGGTCAGTCTAACAACTTAAAGGTAGAGTGGACTGATTTCTGACTGACATCAGATCTATTTTTTGTAAAGTAAAATATATTTTCAACTACTCTCTGGTGTTTTGTCAATAACAGAATGAGTTTAGATAGAACAAAAATATGGTGCATGAATGATTAATTAGTCCTAAATATAAAAAAAAGACATAAAAATTTACATCCAAAGCATTACTGAAGTTTGATTTTTTAATTGAACGCTATGAAAATAGTTATAGGGTCAAACCTTAGATGGAAAGGACAAAGGTAATTACTGAAGCCTTGAATATTCAAGCTCCTGAAAGTCAATATAGTCCTGAAATAGAAACATAAAAGAGAACCCTCAAAGCTGGTAAGAGAGCAACAGCATTAATTATCTACTTATAAAAGTCCAAATAAAGTCACTTATGTTAACATAATTACTATTTAGTAAAATGACTGGTTGGCTCATTTAGACAAAGCTCCGCCTCTTTTCATTCTTTCTAAGTAATCATTCCAAACTGTGTTTCAGGAACTGCCATCTGTCTGTACAATGATTCCAGTTGGTTCACGTGTGCCTTCCAGCGGGGCGGGGGGGCATGGCATTATCACCCCTTTGCTTTATTAGCATTAGAGCACAGTGCTCTAGAATGAGCTAGAGCAACCCGATCTCTGCAGTGGATTGAGCTAAATGTCAATGAGCCACCTTCATCTGATGACCAGAACAATGGGTCAGAGAGCGAAGCAGCTTTAATGTGATCGTTTAATGTTCTGTCATCTCCTGCCTTTACTTTTTCCATGATTGGGTCGGTAATTGCTTGTAACAGCTTCTGAGAGTTTCATTGATAATTTTCTTCGTTGTGCGCCTGCAAGTTGATGAGATCTCCATGACAACAGGAAATTTAACTAGCATTAAACTCGATGATCACAAAAGCCTCCTCAGGGGCTCAGAATAAGCCCCCCACCCCCCTACATCCTCGTCCTCTGATGCTCTGAGGCCTTCTCCCTTTTCTCCAACTGCTGCATCGACTAAAGATCGCACCCTACCGACATTAAGTGCTTCCCAGAAGCTGTTAATCGCCCTCATGCATAAACAAAAGGCTTTTTATCATTCTGCAGGAGCTTTATGATGACTCACCCATTTAGATGAAGCATGTCAAAGCAGAGAGACATTATGAGTCCTACACAGTTTGGCCTAAAAACTGGGGTTGGAGGTTGTAACCATAAACCTTGATTAATTTCATTGGAACTTTATGTGACCAAACAAAAGTTGAGTATCATTTTTGAAATTCAGGTAAAGGGACAGGCTGTACATGTGGTGCAGTTTGTAGCACAGCTGCTTTCGCCTGCTACAAACCTTCTGGACAAAGTGTGCCGGTTCTCCCTGTGTATGTGAGTTTTCTCTCTAGGTACTCCAGCTTCCTCCCACATTCTAAGAATTTGATGGTTAGTTTAATTGGCACCTAAATGCCCTTAGGTCCCTGTACATGGTTGTATGTTCATGTGTTACCCTGCAATGGACTGATGACCTGTCTAAGGTGTAGACAGACTCTCACCCATAGAATGATGGAGATAGGCACCAGGACCCTAAGACACTGATGCATAAGAGGCAGAGGACAGAGGTAAAGAATATGTTGCAGGTGCGATGCTGCGTCTCTACCAGTTTTGCAATTCTAGAGTCAGAAACGTTTGCCCATAGTTCAGACATCAGAACATCAGGTAGCGACGACCAATTAGCCTGGGCCGTTCTAACCGATGATTTCATTTGGACCTAAGCTAAATTGTTTACTAATGGGTTTTGGTCTAAAATATTTTACAGCCTCTGACAGGTCTTCTTTCAAGATTTAGCTCCGCCCACCTTCCCTTCTGCTCTAACCTGCTTCCACATCCCATGACAGTGTCCTCACCCTGTTTGTTGTGTTGTTTCAAAATGTTTGCCATGTTTCCCTCATGGTTTGTTGCCAATAGCTCAGAGGACTGTCAACATATCATTCGAACTGAGTTGTAGACGGATATTCGCCTTGCAGAAGGCGAATATCCGTCTACCCTCTAATCAGTTCGAATCACACACAGAAGTCTTTATGCAAATGCATGTCAGACCTTAAGATTTGTATTCATAATCTACCACTTTCCTTCTACTTGATAACTAAAATACTTTGTGGTGGTCTATGACATAAATCTTAATAGTAATCTTTAGGTTTAGGTTTGCAATGTGACAATGTGTAAAAGAAAGTCTGAATACTTTGGTAAGGTACTGTTAATATGCTGCAAACCTTCTGTCTAAGCATCTAATTCATTTGTGAACTGATTGTCCATGTGTCTGCAGACACGTGAGCCCACATGTGCCCATCGGTGTCCCTTCCTCTCTTCTTTGTTCTAACCATGCAACCTCTCTTCATCACATCTTATTTCCAGCTTGCCGGGTCACGGACCCCTCTGCAGTTGTTGCCCTCGCCCACCCTGCTCACCTCCCTCTGCCTATTCTTTGCCACGGGGCAATCCCTGCCCATTTATTCAGGACGTTCCCATCCAATGAGGAGTGAGAGCGTGTGGAGCAAGCACCAATGAGGCCAGTTTTTCATCTGTATAAAACTTTTCAGAAAAGTTTGCCGGGTTGCACTTTCTGTCAGTCCAGGGCTCTAAGAGGAGAGGACCAGCCCAGAGAGAGAGAGAGAGCAGTACGGGGGGGTCTCCAGATTTTAATCCCAATCCCACACTCAAGAAAGTGGTGGGTGAACTGCTATTTTTTTTCTTTTTGGCCTAGTTTTCTCCCAGTTGAGTGTCTTAGGTTGATCTGAGTTTGCATTTTCTTTATCCCTTTCTCCTGAAGCCTCTCCGTTTCTGCCAAGGATGGAGAACGCGCACACCAAAGAGTCGGCTGACGTTCTGGCCTACTTTGGAGTCACAGAGGACACAGGCCTGCCACCTGAGCAGGTGAAGAAGAACCTGGAAAAGTACGGCTACAATGGTGAGGGAGAGAAAGAGACGGATGACAGGGACAAAAAGTAATGAGAGCTTTTTTTTTAAATACTTTTCCTGGATTTGTCTCGGATGATCGTCAAAACTGCAGAGATGGAGGGAAGAACCCGATGTAAAATGAGTTGCAGCAACATTTAATTTCACTTTGGGATCAATAAAATATTTTGACGGAATGGTGTTTGAAGACTGACAGATGAACCAGCCATATGTGTGACAAAGGCTTGGGGGTGGGGGGTTATTTATGGAGCAGGTGCATTGTGGTCTCATGTTTCTAACTATTGCTACTGGTTATAAATTGCTAGGGATATTATGAAAGCGTGCCAATTCAAAATTAAGCCATTTTTAGATCTCTGTAGCATCAGGCAATAAAAGGTAAAGCTCAGTGCAAGGTTAGAAAAAACACAACTTTGCATCAAAGGACATTTTAGCTTTAAAGGATGCAAAAACAACAAAGGATGTACATGTTTAGGCAATGACCCCCTGAAGTTTAAACATGTTATTTTTGTAGTTCATCTCTCTGTATTCAGAAAGGCAATAAAATGTATGGTTTCCATTAATATTCTTGGTCTGTTCCTACAGAACTGCCAGCAGAAGAAGGTAAGGCCACCTAGACACCTGCTTTTCTCTCATCTGGGTCTGGATCACATGTTCTGTCCATCAATGTGCATCTTTAACTGTAAAGACACCTGGACACACCTGTCCCCCACTCACTTCCTGTGATGACAGTTAATGCGGTCATTTGCTTAACACCTATAAGTTTGGTGTGCTGCAGACATGGAGTGACCCCAAACAACTAATAATACTCCATTACCACACGCTGCTTTAGATGATGTCTCCTGCTACGTGCATGGACAACATATTTGTTGCATAACATAAAACAAGACATTACACGTTGTTATGAGTTTAAAGCATTGTTAGAGTTTTAACATTTACATTTGATGCACCAAACACCCTAACTGCCTTCTTTAAAATCATTACCACATCATTTTTGCATGTTTAACCTCATTTACTGATAAAATAATATAAAACCTATAAGCTCATGCTGTATTAAGGATATCTAACTAATGGGTTTTCTGTTTAAACAGGAAAGAGTATCTGGGAATTGGTGGCAGAGCAGTTTGAGGACCTGTTGGTCCGAATCCTTCTTCTGGCTGCTTGCATCTCCTTTGTGAGTTTTTACACAAATACACTTAAAATTGTTCAACCTCAGGGTTTTATAAGTTAAAGGGCTTGTGAACAAGTACAAAAAAGGTGTGAGGGATTAAATTTGAGTTAATGAGTCGTTGCAAACAACTGGTTTTCCTTAGATAGAAAACTTTGAATCAGTGACTGTATGATCTGGATGAACTGCCTCTTTAAAGTGCCTTGTGTTGTGTTGTAAATTGGCGCTATATGAATAAACTGAATTGAATTTAATTGAACCTAAGCTATCCAAGGCTACACACTGAAAAGTGATCTAAAAGATTTTTTGATTAAAAAAAAAACAAAACAACAAACTTAGTCTTAAAATAACTAGCCGTTATTTTAATGAAATGCAGGTGAAGAGTGAATTCCTAAATAAATTTCTCTGGGATTCACAACCCTCCAATTGAAATCTTACCTTCTTATGCAGGTGAGATGCACAAAAAGCCTGACTGAACTTTTATTGCAGCAACGTAGCCTCCCACCTAAAATTTCAGATAAAGACTCACTTTACTTTAATACATTTATTCTGAGAGAAAAAAAAAATCTAATAAAATATTTTTGGTAAAAATGTTTACACAACAATCACGTAATAATCCCATTTACTTTTTAACATTACTTTCACTTAGTAATTCATAAATTCCTGTGATTATATGGTAGAAATATGATGGACACCGATACATGTTTATCCCAGGCACTCTTCAAAATGGAAACTAGAAAACATAACATTCAAAAATGACTGATGTACCACAAACTATCTTCATGCTTCTACCAATGATGTGTTAATGAGAAGCCAATTTCTAAACCAAAGGTGATGATAGCATGTTAGCACAGTACAGGTCAAAGGTCACAGACAACTAGGGCACTGCAGCAGCCAAAACAGTTTCTCTATTACTGTCAACATTGTTGTGATGGTTGAGGAACAGTCAGCAAGGAAAGCCCCAACAAGGCCTGATAAGTAAAACTTGGATGCAGTGCAGCATTTTGGAGGATCCTGGCCCCTGGAGACACTATTGCCCCACCTAGAGATGTTTATTGATATTTGTCATATTAAGATAGACTGATAGCTTTTACAGACTTATCCTCATAAAAACATCATAGTTCATACATTTAGACAGTAATCTAAATAGACAATAACCTCTTTAAACAATAACCTGTATAAAGAGAAACTTGACTGAGTCTGACAACATAAATAAGGCTTAATCGTTTAATATTATGCAACTAGCTGGGGTTACAGCTCACAGAATCATAGACAGATTACCAACTGAAGGTATCATTAGTAATGCGCACTAGGGTCTATAATACAGATGGTTTTAACATGCTCAGAGCTTATTTAAGATTTTATAAAGGATTGGAACCAGTCAGAAAACCATTCCTCGCACAATGATGTAATTATTTTACATGATAAATGCCAGAGTGAAGAGAAATATCCTTTGGAGGTTCTATAAACATTGTCACAGTATTTGGTGGAATTATTTTAAACTGTATTGATTAATTAATTAATTAATTAATCCTCGGCCTAAATTGCAGGACAGACCCGTTCTAACTGGGTCAGGTTTGTAGAACAACTTATGTTCAGCTTTGCAAACAAATTTCATGTGGAACAAAGAACAGAGCTTTATCTTGACCAACCAATAACTTTTGTCATAATAGTCCTTAAACCACATTTTAATACATTTAAATGTTTACTTAGGAAGATCCATTTTTGCACAAGCTTTAAGTCAAAATCTTCTTAGCTACCAAATTCAGCCAACATACACGAGGTATTTGATGTTCTCATGACTGGTAAACAGATTTTACTACGGTATAATATATGTATCCCTGGGAAACAGACATATAATGTTTGAACAAAACGTGGAGCCTTCAGTTATCTAAAAAAATGCATTTCCATAAACTAACCATTGTTGTGATGATTTACTTTTCTCTAACTGGTGTCTTTCCTGATTTCTTGGATTTTCCTCTGATGTCCCACAAGGAAGATCTGAGGTTTTGCAATATAGAGGTGTCCCTCCACTTGATTCAAATGTCGGAAATTAAGCTTTCAGCTAAATGAATATTTGAAACCTGAGAGTGTACAGTAAAAATAATGTTTAAAGACATGTTCTCCAATATGATGACAACTAATTATAAAACTGAGCAGCAGTTCTGAGCATTCAGCTCTCACCTGTTATCTTTGTGGTCAAGACAAATACACACCCAGGCTGCCGAATACAGCATGTACATCACCGAGCTATTAAATTACTTTTGGATACACTCGGGTTTAGACAAGGAATCCCTCTCCCCTTCTCTGCTGCTGCTTTCTGTGCCATGGTTTTATTAAGAACAGCACGTTGGACACATTGTCTTAATCCTCAGTCTCTGCTCTCCGGCCTCCCTAACAGCTGTCGCTGTGGCCCTAGAAGGCCTGTCGGCTGTGTGCGGAACAAAACAAAACAAAAAAAAAAATAGAAAAAAATTGGAGAACCAGTTCAAGAGGAAAGCAGACAATGTGTGCCAGTACATATGCATGCATAAGCTTTATTTTAAGAGTCTCAAGAAAGGACGAGAGACTGTATCCTTGAACAAAGGTCAGTGATGATCGGAACGAGGGATGGCTTGCAGTAGCAGAAGAAATAAAGAGACAGAGGAGGGCATAGAAGGAAGGATGGCGAGGGGTTGGGTTGCACAATGGCATTGTTTGGTATGATGACAAACGGGAGCAATTGATTGAGAGTCATATACAGTTTCTAAAAAAGAGAACACTAAATACTGCAGATACGTGCTCATTCTATTCATATACACAGGAATGTTATGTCACTGCGATGTGCTGACAGGCTCTGACGCTCACTCTGGAGATCTATTGTGTGTTTGAAGAGAAGCACCGTGAAGACAGATTGGAGGGTGGAGCAATAGCTGCCATTTTCAAAAATGATATGTAAGAAGATGTGAGATGGAGAGAAGGCTGATGGAAAAGAGGCAGATTATGATGCAGAGGGAAAACCTGAGTTTTGAGGGTTTTTTTTCCACTTTTTTCCTCCTGGTTCGGCCCTTGCTTCACTGGCCTGCAACTAATCTGTGTCAATGTCAACATGGAGGCTTTCCAAAACAGTTCTGTCTTTTGTAAGGTGGGACTCTTGCTGACCGAGGGCAGGCATGTGTTAAGCTATAGATTAGAAGATGCCTCACGTGGCACCGTGAGGGAGACGTATGAGACAACTGCTATTTGATCCACCAAAGGATCATCCCTCAGATAAATTACTGCCTGTGTTATAAAACTATGGGTACAATTTTACAACAAGGATCCACTATAAATAGTTAAATAATTAGTTATTAACACAACCCTAAATGCTTTACAAACCATTAATAAACAGCCATCGCAAAACAGGAAGCAAAAGGGATTTTATTGCCAAATAGACTGACTTACTTTCAATGTATTTTTTATCATCTACATTTTCTGATTAAGTATTATCAGGACGTGTTGGTATGCATGTTTCATTTGCATTTAAACTATGTAACTATTGTGCAAAATGTTAACTACACTTTGAAAGAGTCTGTAACTTTTTCCCAATTAGAAAACAAAAATAAACGGACCTCAAAACATTTTGTGATATTTGAATAAGTATCAGAATTGTTTAATATTTGTGTAACAACATTGAATGGTGACAGAGAGGCAGTAAAGGAAAATAACTATTTCTAAACCACAAAGGCTGGTTGCAGATCCATTTGAAATGAGCATTTACAGAGTGACAGCCAAGATATGAAATTCTTGTTATCACTGTGAGAAAGCTGTGATTGCCTAAACATCATCCACTAACATCACCAATGTTTGCATTGTTAGCTTAGGTAACTATCAATGCTAGTTCATAGTTTTTTAATGAGTCTTACTTTCTTAATTTCATCTAAAGTGTTAAGTTTTAAATCTTTTTTAAAACATAGCTATGCTTTTTTTGTTTGTATCTTTTTTTATATTAGAGGTATTGTGGAGGATTTTTAATAAGACCCGCTCTCTCCACTTTAATAAAAAATGTGCCTGCAAGAGCATGCACAAGCCCATTTCTCCTTGTGCGCGCTTGTGCACACATGTTTAAAATGTGCTGTACTCATAGCTCATACAAGCTTACTGTGTCCATATAAAGCAGGGTCAATATAGTGGACCTTATAGCAAACTTAGGTAACTGATTGTTCGGACAGATGATCACTGCTTTTTGCTCCGTTAGTCGCGTAACTCCTCCTCCACTGCGCCATCTTTGTTGTTAGTCGCTGCTGTTGGGTAGCGGCAGCCTATGGCGACAGTGGGTCACTGTGACAGCAAATCAAGTAGTGCTTTGCCCAAAGCATTCTGTGATATATCTGTCTGCATATTCTGAGGACTTTCTTTTCTTCTCATACACTTTGTAGACACTTTTTCCTCTTACGACCCCCCAGCCTTTTTCAAAGTTTCACGGTGATAAAGGGGACCTTCAATGACTGGCTGAAACCATAGCTCACCACAGATATATGGCTGAAAGTGTGCATGTGCAGAAAAAGATAGCTAATATGGCGAGCATGTAGGATGGCCTTACGTAAACATATCACTAGAATGATTGACAACTGGGAGGACCACTTATTAAGATGATCCACCCGGAAATAAAAGATCGTCCTCCATACCTTTAAGACCCATGCAGAATTGGAGAAACACCAAATTTCAACATAAGAGGGGTCTAAACTTGACAGTCTAACTTGCCTGTCTCTCTAATTTTGAAGAGTGTTTAAGAGTTGGCATTTTGCCTCACTTTATTTCAATCCCAAAGGAACAAAACTAAGTGAAACATTCTAGTGATTGATTAATTATGTAACAAGCTGAAATAATAGGGTGGGTAAATTGTAATTTAAATTAAATACTTTATTATCATTGTTGGGGATGACAATAATTAATTAAAAATAATTACTCCTGTATCTTGGATGCAGGATGTTCTTCCTATTCAATAAAAGTTCCCTTTTTAAAGCTGTGAGTATTAAAAACATGTAAGTGTGAGTTTATGTTACTGTAATTAGATTATTCCAAGACCTTTTTACACATCTTTCCACATCTTGCTTAAGTATAGCAAAAATGTGCATGAGGTTTTACCATAATTTCATACTTTTTTGGCATAAAAAAAAAAACAAAGATTAAGATTTCAGTTCAGTTTAATTTACAAAGTGATAGCGTAATATTGCAGTGAACAGAAAAAATTATGGATATATGTTTAATCCAAAACTAGATCTTAGCAATATGTTAGTCATTCAGGTTCATTTTTTGTGGCCTTGTATTTCGTACCTTGCGAGTACAATGTCCCAGGAGTATGCTACATTGTGGGGACCAGTGGTCCCCATGAGAAAAGGTTCTTCTCTTAGTATGGTGGTTAGGACTTTGAGTTTAGGCTAGGTTTAGGTTTAGGCTTAGGTATGCGTTGGTAATGGTTAGGGTTAGTGTCTTGGTTGCGGCTATACAAATAAATGCAAAATGAGTAGAAGTCAATGGAAAGTCCCTCTAAAGATAGCGGGACATAAAATGTTTGAGTGCATCTGTGCAAAAATGCAAAATATCAAGCATTTAATTTTTGTTGCCTAAGGGGACTGTTCCATAAGGGGAGTGTTTGCCTAGTGGGTTAGTGCTGTGCACTTGTGTTCTGAGAGGGATGCATGATTTACTGGGTCAATCCCCTTGACAGCCTCCGCCCAGGGTTCATGAGCAAGACACTTAACCCCACACTGCTGCCTGGGTGCCACACAATGGCAGCCCACTGCTCCCCAACTGGATGGGTAAATGCAGAGGTACATTTCTCCAATGTGAGATCAATAAAGTTTGATTTTTAAGGTATCAAAAACTATTGCTTAAATAAATAGCTTATTTGTACATTTTCTTAAATCGTTTTATTTCCTCTATTTTCTTTATAATTTATAACAAACAGCTGCTAATCTGGAGACGTTTTGTTCAATCATATATTCTAATGTTCTCTGACCATCATCTCATTGACACAGGTGCTGGCTTGGTTTGAAGAAGGTGAAGAAACAGTCACCGCCTTCGTCGAGCCCTTTGTAATCCTCCTCATCCTCATCGCCAATGCCATCGTAGGGGTGTGGCAGGTCAGTCAGTGTGCACAGACACAGAGATACTTACGCTCTGAAGGACATGCGGCCGCCCCTGTGCACTGTGTTTTACTCACACCTAAATAGACTCTCAAACTTAGCAACAGTCACGCTCAATAAATCACACACATTGTCGGCCTGTTCTGGCCTCGTGTCCTCTACACACAGCGTGCTCCTGTTAGAAAGTTCACGGGAGGCCAGAAGGAGAGAAGTGACTTCAGCAGAACGTCTAGAGGTTCAAGGTCAAAACAACAAAGTGACGATGAGCCTAAGCTGCCTGGAAGATTTAAGCAGATGCTTTTTCTTCTTGACAGTTCCCACTGTGCACTCCACACTTAACAATGCAGGCTTCAAGTGGGCATTTGGTTTTAGTAGGAGTGCATATCGACCCTGCAACAGTCATTTGGAAACTATGCACAAGGATTCACACATGAAGGGTATGGAGAGGGAGAGCAGCTGGCATAAGTTGAGCTTTACACTTTGAGGCAGTGGGGGGCAGCCTTGGAAGAAAACCACCTACTGAGCTGAGCGTTCAGTCTTTCCTCTTTCACTGGTCGACACTGTTTTACCAGATATTCTACCAGATTTCTCTTCAAATTAATTCATAAATTTCAAACTAATTCTTGGATGAAATTTTGGTAAAAGAGATAAAAACGTCCCGTAATCCATAATAAGTATCTAAAAGGTTTTCCTAACGCTTGACTTATTCAATCTCCTGATTACATTTAGAGCACACAATTGGTGGATCTAATTAAAAGAAAATTTTACCTGCACAAATATTTGAACTGCTTCAATGGACTGAGTTTATAAATATGATATAATGAGAAATGTTGCACATTCTGTTTAAATTAAGCCAAAAAAAGTGAATTTTTTAATGATAGACCAATGCAGGTTTTTATTTTTTATTTTTCACAATTACATATCTGGAAAAAAAGTATTTTCATCTGTTCTTACTCCACCTCTCCTTAATAAAAGGAGAGTGTCCTGTAATCTGTAAATAGTCAACCAGTCAGTATTTCAATCTTAGAAGCTGGAAACAATAAATGACTGAAGTAGAATTTGGTTATGAAATATTATTCTGCGCTATGAAGATCTTACAGAACGCTGTGACACTATGAGAAAAATGAAAACTTTTAGCGCAACCGCCAACCTAGCAAACAACAGCCCTCCAGCTAAACTGACATGTGTGACAAGGAGAGTGTTGATCAGAGAAGCAGCCAAATGGCCCATGGTAACTCTGGAGAAGCTGCGAAAAATAGCGATTTTGGATAAATCTGTTGACAAGATTATAATCTATTACAGTCTATTTCATTCTATTTACTAATTCTAGAAAATCAAAAAAGTCATTTATAACCCACCTTCACAATAGGATCCATTACATTATGGTGGCCTGACAATTAAAATGACAATGTAAAAACATCCCAGTAATGAGCAGGTGTGCCTCAGTTTAAAAAAAAAAAGGTTTAAACTATGTGACTTCTAGCGATATCAATGCCTAATGGAGTAACTAATGGATAGATGTGCCTTTTTGCCCCAGGAGCGGAACGCAGAGAGCGCAATAGAGGCTCTGAAGGAGTATGAGCCTGAAATGGGAAAGGTTTACCGGGCTGACAGGAAGAGCGTGCAGAGGATCAAAGCCAGGGAGATTGTCCCTGGAGATGTGGTGGAAGTTTCTGGTAAGAATTACCTTCGCTAAAATAATACAAATCTTTGCCGTTTTCCTGGCCCTGTCCATCCTGGATGACATTAGCAGATCAATCACCATTTTCTAGCACAACTGTAACTCTTGTCTTCATTAGCTGCTGCATTTGTGTCACCCTACTCCATAAGTATTTGCAGAGTTTAGATTTTTTTTTTTTTTTAGAACTCCAGGTTTAAACAATGAGACTTTAAACTCTTTCTGTTGCCAGTAAATGCTTTATTTGTTCAGAAAGAGGTGAATAACTAAGAACAAGTAGTCTACTTTATGAAATCTAAAAGACCATTACCAGAATATCTCATCATGTGGAGAAAGTGTTTAGAAAATCTTTGTTTTGTTCTTTGCTGGTCATTGCATCAATAAAAAATGACACCTTCCTTTTAAGGTAAGCACAGAGATAAAGGGGTGGAGAAGCTTGACTATGAGAGCACTTGATATTGACCCAGTCCTCTGTCTCACCCATGTCCACCTGTTCTTTTCCCCTCATGATCTCCCCAAGGTCTTGCTCTCCCTCTGACTCTCACAGTGGTATCGGTTTTCAACAACAACACTATCCTTTCATAGTGCTAAGACCAGTCAATCACCCCTGCCCCCTTCATCCTGCATGCTGCTGTCAGATCATTTCTCAGCTTTGTGCCCTCAAGCTCCACAACAAGTTGTTCAAATTAAAAGGAGTCCAAGTTCTCTAACCGGTCCATAGGTTTTAATGTTAATAAAGTTCTTTCCCTTCTGTCTTTCTCTGTGCTTGATTGTGTCGACAATAGTTGGTGACAAAGTTCCAGCTGACATCAGGATCATCTCCATCAAGTCCACAACTCTGCGTGTGGACCAGTCCATATTGACTGGTATGCCAGCCCTAAGATAGAAGGAAAAATATTAATGTTTTTTAATGTTTTTTATTGATCTTTTGAACCCCTGGTTGTGCTTCAGGAGAGTCTGTCAGTGTGATAAAGCACACTGAGGCTGTTCCAGATCTCAGAGCTGTGAACCAGGACAAGAAGAACATGCTGTTCTCTGTAAGCCTTCTGCTGTTAAAATATGTTTATGTAACTCTTTAGACATCACAGTGCTCAATGGAAATATATTTTCAAAAGCAGTAGCAGAATTTATACCATTGTTTTTAATTTGCTCCCTCTGACATTTACTGTCATAGATTCTGCTGTTTAGAAAATGAGTAGTTCAGTTTCTGTGTTTCTCTTTATGTTTTCCTAGAACCACTGTTAAAAGAAGTCAATAATAAGACTTGATTAATATCTTTATGACATGAAACATTTTGACAGATTATAAGATCTCTCTGAAACTTATGCTCAGGGCACCAACATTGCTGCTGGTAAAGCCACTGGTATCGCTGTTGCCACCGGTGTCTCAACTGAGATTGGCAAGATTCGTGACCAGATGGCAGCCACCGAGCAGGAGAAGACGCCTCTGCAGCAGAAACTGGACGAGTTCGGAGAGCAGCTGTCCAAGGTGGGTAAGACTGGCAAACATTAATGCATGTGTGTAGGCCATGAAAAAGTATATATAGTTCCATTCTTGCTGATTTGGTGAGCCCTAAACTAAAACATCCAAATACCAGTTTCTTAAACATGTCTCATGGCATATCCTTTTCTTGCCTCTCTCTTCAGGTCATCTCTCTCATTTGTGTAGCTGTATGGATAATCAACATTGGCCATTTTAATGACCCAGTCCACGGGGGTTCCTGGTTCCGTGGTGCCATCTACTATTTCAAGATTGCTGTAGCTTTGGCTGTGGCTGCCATTCCTGAAGGTAAACCCCAGAGATAAGCTTCTCGAGGAGTTTTTCAAACTGCTTGTTATGTTGTGTTGCCATCATGACTACCCTGAAAGAGGGCTGAGTGGGTTTGTTGAGCTGGAATATTTACTGGTGAGTTACAGGATTAACCAGCTGAAATGTGTGCAATAACTCAGTGCAACCAATGGCCGTCAAATCTCACCTCAATAGTTTTTGTAAAATGGCTTTTCCATTACAGGACTGCCCGCTGTTATAACCACTTGTCTGGCGCTGGGAACCCGTCGAATGGCTAAGAAGAACGCCATTGTCAGGAGCCTTCCTTCAGTGGAGACTCTAGGCTGCACCTCGGTCATCTGCTCAGACAAGACAGGCACGCTCACCACCAACCAGATGTGTGTAACCAAGGTCAGTTTGTGTTCATATTCACAAACAAAGCTACTCAGAGATCCTGTTCTTAATCTTCAAATATGCAAACTGTATTTCACACTTTTTCCCATTACAGATGTTTATCATTGACAAAGTTGAAGGTGACAATGTCCAACTTGGTCAGTTTGACATTTCAGGGTCAAAGTACACCCCTGAGGGAGAAGTGTAAGTGAACTTGATTGCAAAATTCACTATTTTGAAGCAATTTCTTTTTTTCCAAAAGCAAAATTTTCACTTTTTCTTCCCAGCACAAAGAATGGCTCACTAGTTAAGTGTGGGCAGTATGACGGATTGGTTGAGCTGGCAACCATCTGTGCCCTGTGCAATGACTCATCTCTGGACTACAACGAGGTCAGCATAGCATCCAGAACTCTCTGATTGCTTACCATGTTTACATGCTGCAGGGAACAGTGAAAATGCTTTGATTGTGATTCCTTCCCTCTGTCCACACTGCAGTCTAAGGGCATTTATGAGAAAGTGGGCGAGGCCACAGAGACAGCCCTGTGCTGCTTAGTGGAGAAGATGAATGTGTTCAACAGCGAAGTGCGTGGTCTGTCAAAAGTCGAGAGGGCAAACGCTTGCTGCTCTGTAAGTTAGTTAACTTGAAGAAATTCTTCCTCAACGATCAAAATGCAACAGATTAAAGTGGCTAGTAACCTCCACATTTCAACAGCTGTTTTCCATTTTTCTTTTCACTTCCTATCAGGTTATCAAACAGCTGATGAAGAAGGAATTCACCCTGGAGTTCTCCAGAGACAGAAAGTCCATGTCAGTATATTGCTCACCTGCAAAGTCAGCCAAAGCTCCTGTGGGGAACAAGATGTTTGTTAAAGTGAGTGATGATGGCTAACAAGTAAAATTGACAGTTAGTGGATATTTGAACAGAGCTGAGTACAAGTTTAAAATAATAAAAGTACAATACGAAAAAATATAAACAAATACATTAAGATCTGTTTGCCTTTAAGTAACAGACCCCTTAACACACATTTAAGAATAGATGAATAATTAATTTATTAATATAGAAGTGAAGATACCACTGGCTTTAGTAATATCTGGGCATATTCTATCTATAAATCAAATGAATAAACAAAATACAGCACCCTCCTTATTGGTTTAACATAGGCCTAATGACTTTGTCACCATGTTGTCATCAGGGTGCTCCAGAGGGTGTGATTGATCGTTGCACATATGTCCGTGTGGGTACCAACCGCATACCACTGACTGGCCCTGTCAAAGACCATATCATGTCGGTGATTAAGGAGTGGGGCACAGGGCGTGATACCCTCCGCTGTCTGGCACTCGCCACCCGTGACTCACCTCTCAAGAGGGAAGAGATGAATCTGGAGGACTCCACTCGTTTTGGAGACTATGAGGTGGATTACCTTGATTAAAAGACCTACATACATATATCTGTCTGGAGAATATAGCGGACTATGTTTTGCTTTTTTCTTCCTCTCCCTAGACTGACCTGACCTTCGTTGGTTGCGTTGGAATGCTTGATCCTCCTCGCAAGGAGGTCATGAGCTCCATTGAGCTGTGCAGGGCTGCTGGTATCCGTGTCATCATGATCACTGGTCTGTCTAAGCAAGACTACAATCTATTTCTAAAATGATTGAGCAAAGATTGGATAAAAAAAAAGACTCACCACTGCTGCTCTCTTTCAGGTGACAATAAGGGTACAGCTGTGGCAATCTGCAGACGCATTGGCATCTTCACTGAGGAGGAGGATGTGACTGGTAAGGCCTTTACCGGTCGAGAGTTTGATGACCTCTCTCTGTATGATCAGAAGAAAGCGGTCAGAAAAGCTTGCTGTTTTGCGAGAGTGGAACCATCCCACAAGTCCAAGATTGTTGAGTTCCTTCAGGGCTTTGATGAGATTACTGCCATGGTGAGGAAGAACATGCTCCATTTCTGTTGAGGTAAATGGGATTGTATCAGGTAAATCTGGACAGCTAAAGATCTTTCCTTCTCCTTACCAAGACCGGCGATGGAGTGAATGATGCCCCGGCCTTGAAGAAGGCGGAGATTGGCATCGCCATGGGCTCTGGCACTGCCGTTGCCAAGTCTGCCTCTGAGATGGTCTTGGCTGACGACAACTTCTCTTCCATTGTGTCCGCTGTTGAAGAGGGAAGAGCCATTTACAACAACATGAAGCAGTTCATTCGCTACCTCATCTCCTCCAATGTAGGCGAGGTCGTCTGGTGAGCAAATTTTTTTTTTTCTAATTGTGAATATTTAGCTTTGATTTTGAGTCAGACTCTAAAGACTAGACTTGACTTTGATCCAAACTCTCCAAGGAATATTTCTTTTGGCTTACATTATAAAGACTAGCTTCAACTTTGACTCTTTCATACACAACTCTAAATTTCATGTTACCAGAGTGAACAATTTACATATTGTCTCTGTGTGGTTGGGCTATAAAGAGCAATGCGACACATATCAAGGCAACACAAAGTGATGTGACGGACGTATTTCTAGCGATGCAGCAGGCCCAATTACAGCAAAGCAGTGGTGAGGCGACACCTGCGATAGATACAAAAATCTGAACGGCCAACCAGGGACTGGATCTGGCTGTGACATAGGGTAAAGGAGAGCAACAGAGACTAAGCTTTTTTCAATTAGATAAATTGGTAGAAGATAAAAAAAAAAACTAATGGTGACATAGGATGAAAAAAAGAATACTCTTAAAGGTTTTGTTGGTGGCTTTTAAAAAATCCGTTCCAATCTAGCATTCAAAAAGATTGTTAAATCAGCCATTATTCATCCTCAACTTGTAGCTCCAAAGCAGAGTACAGCCAGTCACCTATCCCCAGCGTCTTGCTCTAGTATACTGCTGTCCACCTATACCTCCAGAGAGGGACACAACACCAGCCGCCACCTCAGTGGGGTTTCTGATGTGCAACTTCTGCCCTGGTTCCATCTCTGATCTACCAGTATCCTCCCTCTTCGATCTCCCTCTGTTTCCGCTGGTAGCTTCCAGAGGTCTGGTGCTCTTTCTAGCACGAGCACTCTCGTGCACCTTCCAGCGCCATGAATGAAGTCTGTTAATCATTAATTCAAATATTAGGGCTTGATTTCAAACTATTCCAACATGTTTAACTTGTCTCTGCTTCATATTAGTAAGAATAAACCCTAAAACAGTATCTTTATCCCTCCTTCAGTATCTTCTTGACAGCTGCCTTAGGTCTGCCAGAGGCACTTATCCCCGTCCAGCTTCTTTGGGTTAATCTTGTGACTGATGGTCTACCAGCTACTGCCCTTGGTTTTAATCCACCTGACCTTGACATCATGGGAAAAGCCCCACGCTCCCCCAAAGAGCCCCTAATCTCAGGCTGGCTCTTCTTCAGATACCTGGCCATTGGAGGTAGAGTCTTGAAAAGACATTGTCTTATTGCAACTAAATTTATTCGCTTGATGTATAAAAAATAAACACTGTAACTTTATTTTAATGATCAAAGTAGTTTATATTATCTTAAAATTGTTTTTTTTTTACTGAGCTCAGTGTAAATGGCTGTTTTTCCAGGTTATGTTGGTGCAGCAACAGTGGCAGCAGCAGCTTGGTGGTTCTTGTACTGTGATGAAGGCCCAATGGTCACCTTCTACCAGCTGGTAAGTATTCCAAAATAAGTCTCCTTATAAAGCATATCTTTGAAAAAATTTACAGCTTTGAAACACCTGGACTTATTTGAACCTTCCCATCAGTCCCACTTCATGCAGTGCAGTGAGGAGAATGAAGACTTTGATGGTATCCACTGTGAGGTGTTTGAGTCTTCTCCACCAATGACAATGGCTCTGTCTGTGCTGGTCACCATTGAGATGTGCAACGCTCTGAACAGGTGGGAACCTGTGGCATTTCTATAAACTCAGCAGCATAATGTACAGAATCCCCACATTATGAATGTGTCAAACAAATAGCATTCTATTATTGATCTACTATTTAAGCAGTTTCTAAAGAATCAAAACAAACTGGTATTTTTAAAAACTACTGCTGTCTTCTGAGACAACTGCTTTGTGCTGTTTTTGAACATCAATCATTTTGACACATGCTTCTAAGAGCATAGCTCTGCAATCATTGACACACCCCTAATGGGCAACATTCTCCAGTTTAAATACTCTTTGGTTGGAATCCTGCAATCACCATTTTTCTACTCCCTTTAGAAATATTCAGTAGACTTCAAGTCAGTAACTAAGTTATTACTTCCCTTTATTAACTTATGTTAATTAGCTGTCTGTCTGTCTGTCTGTCTGTCTGTCTGTCTGTCTGTCTGTCTGTCTGTCTGTCTGTCTGTCTGTGTACAGGATAACTTGTAAAGTTATGGACAGATTTTAATTATCTTTTTTTTTTTATCAAAGATCTCTGTCATGCCAAGGAACAATCCATTAAATATTGGTGATGATCCAGATCTTAATCTGGATACAGGAATTTTGCAAAACATTTTCTAATATTGTGAGATAGGGATATATGGCAGAATGAGCAGTTCTGCACTAATCCAGAGGGTGGCAGCGATGCTAATGACAGCCTCAGCGTCTGACTCAAAAATCCAGAGGTATTTTACTGAACACTGAAACACAAGAAAAGGGAACGTTGTTAGCAGGATCAGTTATTCAGAAGAGAATTAGGGCCACTGGAAAAAAGTACAAAAATGTACAGATTTTTTTTTTTTTCATTTGATTTTAACATGAGAAAAAAGTCAGAATTCTGACTTTAATCTCAGAATCCCGAGAAAAAAGTCCTAATTCTGAAATCATATATCTAAGATTTTTTTCCCCCACATTAAATTCCAATAAAATCTAAAGAATCTGTTAATGTTTTTTTTCTGTTTTTTTAGAGGCCCAAATCCTCCTCCATACAATTGAAAAGACTTGTCCACAAAATCCATTTAGATTTTCTAGACTTTTTTTTTTCACCAGAGGTGCTCCTCATGACAAGGAACAATTAAATTTAGTAAAATGCAATTTAATAATGATTCAGATCATGTGCGAGTTTTAACTATAGGTGAAATTCATAATTTGGGGCAACATTTTCTGCTTGGCTGAGGTCTGCGCTCTCTGAGTGCTTTTCAAGTTAGATTAGGTGTATCCAAATCAAAGGATTTTCAGTAATGGAGCTGTTGTGTCCACAAGCATGCAGCATATTGGGAGACATTAAACAATTATTTTTGAAATGTTAAAATACCAATATTGTGTTTCAGTATGTAAAATATTATTATGTCTACTCTTAAACAATGATGTCACAGCTTGTAACCTGCATAACCCTATTTGCTGCCATGTGACTTTTTACCTTAGATGACCTATATTTGCCTAGCCTGTGTTTTTTGTTGTCCGTTTGAGGTTTCAGGTGTGTTTCTGTGGCAGTGTCACAGTGCCACCAAGGGGCCCAGCTTACATAATACAGTATTTTTGTTTAGGGTTGTCTGCATCCTGCACCAAATGGCAACAAGTCTGGCTACTCCTCTTTTTACATCCATCTGAATTTTTCAGCTGTTTTATCTCAAGCGCATTGTGGGATGTTAAACCTAATGTGTTCAGGGAGCTGAATCATTTTAAACCTGCAATAGTCGCTGACAGGATTTGTAGAAAACCCATACTTTTTTTTTTAACCAATCTTTACTCTTCTTGTAACAATTGGTTCATTTTAAACTGCTGAAACTTTTTTTTTCTGATAATCCTTATAAACCAGATAGAAAAATTATAATCATAGAATAATTCAAATAATCAGGATTTTATGATACAACCCAGTGATTCAAAGTTTTTGTTGTTGTTGTTTTATTAATTAATTAATTTATTTATTTTTTATTTATTTTTTTTTTCTTAGGTAAATTTTAAGGAAACATTAAAGTTTAATTTTGATGGTCATTATTGCAGCATAAAGGTTTGAAAGAATTTGTATGCAGAGAAAGTAATTATTCTAGCTAAGGATCCCTACCATGTCAGATGAACCAGAAGCCTTTCATTAATGGTCCCAATCTTCTCTTATCTCTCACCACTCGACTTGCTCTTTTCAGTGGATAGGGAATTCCTGCACATGAGTAGTTTCCCATATGAAGCTCTTGTGGCAGAGAAAGATGCTGATGAACCATCTGCTGTCTGGTGACATTTCAGATGAGGAAGTAAAACATCCCTTTATTACCCTGCAGTAGGAAAACGTGTCCTCTGCATTAAATCCATCCCCTGGGAGGCAATCCTGCATTAAATCCACTGCTAAGGAAACAGTGCACAAATCACATTTGAACTTGAGGAACTGGGAACAAATTACTGAACAAAAATTATAGTGAGACTCACTCCATTTGTTTTACTTTGTCTTAAACATTCATGACACCTAAGTCTGCTTTGATGAGCTCAGATGTGCTGATAACAGGCTGTTTTCCACATGCAGTTTGTTCCTCTGAGTGGTTCAAAACTGAAGGTGAACTCAAACATATAAGAAAAAGTTACTTTTTGGTTGAAAAAAGCATGGTTTATTTTTGTTGTTGGGTCCTAACAAAGTAGAACAGATTTAAACCCTGTTTTATTACCAGAGAAACTAAATATTTTCATGTACCAATTGCAATGCACTTGTGGACCACTAGGAGTACGAGTACCCCCTGTTGGGAATCAATGCCCTAGAGTCCTAGACCACCAAACCCCAGCTATAATAGCAGTATGCTTACATTTCTAATAATTGTCACATTAAAGCAAATTATTTAGAGAATATGAAGATCTAAGGATATCAAGTGCAAAAGGTCAGATCTAAGGTCTGGTTGTAACTTCTACCGACTAGAGGATAAAGGTTGCATCAATCCCAGCCTCAAACAGATCTTCAGCTGTAAATGACACATCTTATGGCTTCTTACATCACTCTTTTGCTGGCAAAGTCTATTTTGCAAAGTGTAAAGTGTGTAACAGCTAATATATGGACAGGTTCTCTAACTTGAGCAGTGCATTTCTGCAGCTCCTCCAGTTACCCTCTGGCTGCATCTTTGAATAATGTTCTCCCTAACAGCCTTTCCATGAATGGCTAGGTCCTGATGGTAGATTGAACTGAGCACTGTTACATATTTAGTGCATTAGTTCTGCACTAAGCTTCAACATACCTTTCAATTGACCTGTAGACTAATGATCTATTACAAACAACTCAGGCCTTTATAGAACAGCTTGATTTAAATTAGCTGTTAATACTGACAGCATTTACCAAGTATATGACTTCTGCAATTAGCTAGACTAAATTTAAATATACACCAGCTTTTTATTTTATATATGTGAGTATAATGTAATACCTGACTTTTTTGTAAGAATACTACCGGAGTCTGCAACATTTCATATCTGAAAAGCCATTTTGCCCTGAGAGTTATTTGGGTTAAATGTCTGCAATAGGAAATGTGTTGCCATCTTCAACAATCCAGTGTTTATTCATATTTTAGCTTTTATGTAAATAAGGAAAAAAATAAAATGCTTCATAAACATGGAGTATGGATTTTCTTCTGTTGTGTTGTTATTTTAGGTGAAAAAATAAGAAACATAGTAAAACCTTTAATTTGGATTTAATAAAAAAAATGCTCTAAATAGTTGTTTTTAAAACCATTCTGTTGAGAAAATTAAATTAAATATTCTTTAAAAAAGCCACTAAAGCTTCAAAGACTGGTATTTTTTATTAAAGTATATTAGTTATTCCTTTTTAGTCAATATTAAGAGCCATTGTAGAGGTTGCAGGTTGCAGCCCCCCGTTCTTCTGTAGAAAACATATCTGAAATACAGTACATTGACTTTTCTTCATTTTCAACCCTTTCCTCTTAAACTATTCAGCTTGTCTGAGAATCAGTCCCTGGTGCGGATGCCTCCCTGGAGCAACGGCTGGCTGATGGGCGCCATGAGTCTCTCCATGTCCCTCCACTTCATGATCATCTATGTCGACCCCCTGCCTGTAAGTCTCCGCCTCCGTCACAGCTCAGATAAAGATGCTCTATTGGTGCCGTCATTTTGAACTGAAAGTTGAAGCTCTAACGCTGAATATGTTTGCCCACTTTGCTAATCCACAGATGATTTTCAAGCTCACTCATCTAAATGTGGAGCAGTGGATGATGGTGCTAAAACTTTCCTTCCCGGTCATCCTTATTGATGAGCTCCTGAAGTTTGTGGCTCGCACATACTGTATCTAGAAGGTGAGCTGAAAGAGGGACTTCTTTACAATGGAATCTATTTTTGTCTGAAGCATATATATTTATTATTAAATAATTAGAAGTAAAAATGCAAGGATGATCATCAGGTAACATCTAACTCTAACCCTCCCAACCATCTTCGCTCTAATCTCTATTTTCCCTGATGATTTAATTTTCCTGTCCCCTTCCTGGATCACATTTCCTTACCCCTTATCTGGAAATGCAGTCTAAAACCTGTCCCCAAACCTCCATACCCCTTTAACAAAACAAGGCATTCACCTCCTGTCTCTAAGATGAGCTATTTCTCTGCACAGTGCAAAACATCTGCCTGCTTCCTCAGTGCACTTTGGCTCCTTCTGAAGCTTAATAAACTATAATTTTTTATCATATATAGATCTGCATGCCTGGTGCTATTTCCTGTGATATGTTTACATAGAAATCACAATTTTATACTACATACAATTACTAGGAACTTGCAAATCTACCATGATCAGTCATTCTGGGCCATATTCTACAGCAATAAAACTAATGCTACTACTTGCTGCTTAAAAGTAACTATGGCCTGAATGTTTCTGGAATCTGACCATTTGTTTCCGAAACTAAGTATGCTGTCTGTTTAACATTTGGAAACACTGAATCTGCATTTTCTAATTGATTTTCCACTATATTAAAGGTAGAGTTTAGTTCTTTTTTTCTCCCCACAGGGTGAGTCGGGTTATAATCCACAATCTGGGAACCTGAGCTTCTTTTCCTTTTGGGATTTTTTGGAAATATATATAGAGTTCTTCTGATTAAGATTCAGTAGAGCAGGTAGATAGGTTTCCAGATTTGAATGAAACAACAATATATGGGGCTCTACATATTTCAAACCTAGTTTTTCTTTTTTTATGATCAAATCTCATTTATTTTCTTTTAAGCAAAGCATTAAAGTTTAAATACAAATGATAACCATGAATTTAAGTTTTTATGTTGAAAACCCAAGGAAGGGATGGATGGATGGACATATGGTGGGTAGATTTATGAATGGATATACTTTAGGGAGGGATGGATGAATGGATGGTGGGTAGATGTATGAATCGATATACTGTAGGGAGGGATGGGCACATGAGAGAACCAGATGGATGGAAGGAGGGAGAGAATTAAGATAGGATTGTCAGACAGACAATGAAAAAGGGATAAACTGGCCAATTAATGTTGAACAGGAAAACTTATGGACCGAAAAACACAAATAGATGAATAAATGGATGGCTAAAACATTTAAATAGTAGAAAATAAAACCCTTTTATTTCCCTACTTATCACAACCTGAAAAATGTAAACATTTACAGGCTGCATAGAATGTTCCAGATGTTTGTGGGATCTTTTATTGGGTCTATTTTGCTCTCCTGCTGTTGGTTCCCGTTTGTCCAAACCTGCCACATTCACTCTACCTCCACTGCTCTGCTCTCTTAATGAAGAGTTCTTCTGTTTTGTCTGTTCAGGAAAAGTCTAAAGAAAATCATGGAAAGTATGCCTGGAGGAAGGGGAAGGATGACCACAGAGGATTGAGAAATAAAAAATAATAAAAACAGCAGAAAGCTGCGATTGAATGAATGAAAGCTGATCAAATCACTTGATCTGTACATCAAGTGGTGTGAAAACAACCGGAGACATAAAAGACATCTGAAAATGCACCAAAAAGCTGCAAAAAGTTTTTTTTTCCTTTTTTTTGTGTATGTTCCGAGAAATAATATATAGTTATGGTATTTTAAAGCTATTCTGTTTATTCTATTCTTAAAGAATAAAGATGTGTACTGAAGGTGACATGAATTTTAACTCTTAATTTTATTTTTGTTCCAGAATGCTGTCTGCATGTACAGTGAAACTGCAAAGAGCTCTGAGCCGGAACACTTTATTATATCTGTTTGACCTTAATGCTTGAGAGAAATAATGTGACGACTTGTTTTTCATCTTCAGTGTGTATTAAAACAAAAACAAAAACCCACACATGTTAAACTTTTATATCTCTACTAATACCACTTTTATTGCCTAATCCAGTCATACGTGTCAATTTAAAGGCTGGTATGGGCAGTTAAGACATGGACTGTAGATTTATGCCTGATAGCTGACAAATGGTAGACTCATTATTACATATAATAACATACATTAAAAAACCCTCTCGTTTGCATTGCTTCATGAACTCTTATTGCACTGTGCTGTAAAGAGGTCCTTCATCACAGATAATATGGCTTACAGACGCATTTTTACCTGCACTGATGAGTGTTTTTGCTAGAGTTGTTAGTTTTATAAACAAATTAAATTCAGATTTGCATTTTTACAGGAAGGAATGTTACAGGAAGTCATTTAAAACATGGCTCTCAATGACTAAGAAACCGTTTGATTTACTGACATCGAAGCATAACTATCGAAAACAGACACGCTCCAGTGTCGTAATAGAAAAAAGGGGAAATAGTGCAGAGTTTTCTTGGGGTGTCTGTCCAGCGTGTGGACCTTCTTGGTCCAGGCGATATGTTTGATGCTGGTCTTTGGTTTTTTTCACATCTTTTTCTAACGTTCATGAGACTTCAGCAGGCTGAGCGCCAGCTTCTCCCACACTCTCCCCGAGGATTTCTTTGACTTGTTCCAGAGTCTCCGCCTGCCGGATCAGCTCCAGTTTAACCTGAAAGCGGAGGGAGATAAATATATAGATGTCACAGAATCAGTTGGCGATATGAAAGCTTACATCATGATTGGACATTGATTCTTTACCTGAAGCGACTGGGAGAGCTCGACGAAGTCCCTCTGCACAGCCTGGCTGGTGTCCACCTGAGAGCGAAGGCTGATCACTTGGCTACGAAGTTCCAGACACTGTTGGTGGAGGAGGGCCTGAAAGACACAGAGATGGGGATATTAACCCATATGAGCTTTAGACACATGCTGGGCAAACAGCTTTACAAACACGCATAAAAAATTTTTTGAATAATGTGGTATTTACCCCCTTTTTCTCAAAATGTCTAAAGAAAATCCAATGTAATCAACCGCCAAAAAAGACGTCCATCTAAGCTATGTAATCATTCATCAGAGAAGCAACCTACAGGGGTGGGGTTGACTATGGAGGAGTCATAATGATCCAGTTAAGGTGGAGCAAAGTAACCACCTCATCCTGATTGACATCAATACCAACACCACAGATGGAGTATATGGAAGGCAGGAGGAGAAAAGCAACTCAAGGTTCATGTTGGTGAGATGGCAAATAGGTAGAGGAAGGTCCTCTGATGAGACTGCTCCACCATCCACAACACAAGCTCACCACTGCATAACACAGTGTTGGTAACATCATGCTGCGGGGACGCCTTTCTTCAGCAGGGAGGGTAAAGCTGCTCCAAGCTGAGAAAACTGATTTAAATACAAAATGACTGAGAAAGAAACTGGTTAAGACTTCCAAAGACTTAGAAGGGGGCAGAGGTTAACTTTCTGGGAAAAAGGCGAAAATAGAGCCTGAGATTAAGTGGGACGGTTTGGATAATCTAGGGTTCAGATCCGTTTTGGTTACTTTTAGATGCCTCTCTGCTTCAAAACATCTGAATCCAATCAGGCATAAAACCAGCTGAGATTCTTCAAGGTGACCAAAACTGATATTCAGAACATTTTCTATCTGACCTTTCCTGAACCTTTGACCCAGAAAAAAGGACACATTTTCAGTCCACAGACGTTTACTTAACTTTCACAAACAAGCATCCTAAAAACCATGCAAAATTAGTCTTCATAAGATCCCAGTAAGATGCCTTAAACTTGGTGGTTGAAATGTGACAGAATGTAAAAAAAAAGTCAAATAAATATTTTTGCAAAGTGCTGAATCTGACAGATTTTGCTGCACAACAGACAATGGTGGATTAGCCCCATCTTGTTTAATCAAACTCGAGAGCCTTGGTTCTAAAAGCCGGTTTCATTTACTTTATCACTGGTGAGGGCTTTGTTGGTGTTCTGCAAATGAGTGAGCGCCACCCGCTGGGCTTCCAGCTCTTTGCGGCAGGTAAACAGCTCAGCCTGCTGCTGGTCCCTCTGAGCCTGGATCTTCTCTGTCTCTGTCCTCAAAGTGGAAAGCTGCACTGCAGAAAGAATCACAAGCACAGTTACATTAATAGCATTTCTGAGACTAATAACATCAGGGATAAATAACTTCTGGTATTACAGATGGCTTAGCAGGCTAATGATAAACCATGGTGTCCACTCACCCTCTAAAACATCTGATTTTGGTAGTTTTGATCAGCAGCCGCCATGAGGAATGAAGGAAAACAAAGAAACAGTTTAAGCATGGTGGAAGTTAGCCGTTAAGCAGATATTTAAACAATCCACAGACCGTTCTCCTCCGCCCGACTGTCCAACTGCTCCCTCAGATTGACTATCTCGATGCGAAGTCGCTCCTCACAGTGCGCCCCCTACAGGCAAAAGATAAACAATCAATTTCACAGAGGTCTTGCAGAAAATGAACATGTGCCGTTTTGTAAATGTGTCGTTTTCCTTCAGCATCCTCTAGTCTCTGATGGTTATGTGCTATTAAGCTGTCATTTTGCCAGGATTTTCATAGGCTGGCACATTTAATATCACCCAAACAGTTAAACTTTTCACAAGAAAGTCACTTTAATATAAGGAGTTTGATTTGAATAAGAACAAAAAATAAAAGAAGGGATACAGAACGTCACTATGTGAGGTTTTAGATCAAATACAACTCTTTCTTTAAGCAGAAAATGAAACTCCAGGAAAGGATTTTTTAATCAGAAAAACTAAATTTATAAGCTTGACCTTTTATTATTTCAGACTTTCACCTTTAGGTGCTTGGTTGCAAACAAAAAAAATTATATATTTTTTAATCCCTTCATTTGCAGACAGTACTGTACTGGCCTCAGTGCTAGAAAAGAACATTTGGGGGTCTACTACTAGACCTATTTGTTTTATAACGCTTGATATATTTAGTTAAAAAAAAAGAAATGTAAATTAAATCGACTCACTGCTGCTGTGGCATAAAAGCTTTTAATCAGCTGTTAAACAGCCTATTTCATTTGCTGTCTCAAAAGAGTTGTTTTTATTCTCCTGCTCCTTTTTAAATTTTGATCAGGTGTTCATTCCACTTAAATTACGAACTGAATTTTCATTAAAAAAAACAGCATTGACATATGCTAGCTTCTTAAATGGTAGATTTACCTGCTGCGTGTCTGAGATCGATGATCTGGGGTCCAATAAACGCTCATCGATGTCTTCTCCTTTCAGTCTGGACAGCTCACAGCACATTTTCCGCTGAGACAGAGACAACTCCGCCTGGACCCCAGAGGATACAGAAGAAGAACATTTCATTTGAATTCCTTAGGATTTCAATTTAGAAATATAAACAGTGTTTTAAAAAAAATAAATTCTAGTCTACTATCTTATTATAATCAGCAACTTGATTTCCATTTTAGTGTCAGGTCACTCACCAGCCGGCTCTGAACCGCATTCTGTGATTGGCTGAAAGATTTCTGTAAATCTTGAAGGAGAGTCTCTGAGGTCTGGACTTGAGACTGGAGCAATGAGACCTGAACACCAACAAACACATCAACTGGTGTTAAAACTGGTAGCCTTTACATGAAGCCCATTGAGACCGGAGATGCAGTGATCAGGTGACAGCTGATTTAAGGTCTGAGCTGAAGATTCAAACCTTAAAAGTCATTAATTTAACATTTGCTAAAACCAACAAAAACATCTGAATGGAGGATAAAGGATTTCCCACTGTGATAAGTTAGAATGAAACAGGGAATCAAACTATTATATGATGACAGTCTTCCTTTATTGCTTTATTTACTAAGATAAAAATGAAAAAGTATCAGTGGAAAGTTAACATTTTGATGTTTTTGGTGGGCAGGAGGAAATCTGATATTTCAGTATCTGATCTCCTGATGATTCAGCAATAGATTGAAAACAGTTGGATTGATTGATGATCATTTAATTAGGATGGCCAATCAGAGCAGAAAGCCCCACCTGTTTGTGGGTGTGGTGGGTTTGGGTATCCAGTTCTCTCTCCAGCTCCTCCTTCTCCGCCTGCAGTCGGCTCACTTCCCCTCGCAGGTCTGACAACTGCCCAAAAAAGAAAAAGAAAAAAAAAGTTTATAGCAGCCATCTCACTTTAAAGCTGTATTTGTATTAGTTGCCGTTTCTGGACCTGCGCATTGAGGGCATCCCAGTCACTGTGAGTTACTAGGCGGTGTCCCGCTGGGGGTAGGTAGATGGCTTCAGGAACTAGTGTTCCCGTGGAAACCAGTGATTCTGTGTCTTCCTGAGTGAGGAGTTTTCTGGGCAGAGATGGCGTGTCCAAGGAGAATGAGGACAGCGAGGCAGAGTCACAGTTCTGTAAGGAATAATACCCCTCAGCTGAAAGGGGCGACCCATCCTCCGCCGCTGCCTCAGGTTCTAGCGGTCCACTCCGCGTTTGGTCCGGCGGCGAAGCCGCTTCGTCCTCCTTCAAGCTATTGCCAACCGATGTCAGGGATTCATTGACGGAGACGTCGGATTCTGCCCTGCCCTTTTTGCTACCGGTCTAACAGGCACAGAA